CAGAGTTTCTCTGTGTGTGTTTGTGTTGCTATTGTTGTTGTTGTTGCTGCTGCTGCTGTTGTTGTGGTGTGTGTGTATAGATATATATATATATATGTGTGTGTGTGTGTGTGTATGCGTATGCGTACGCGTATGTGTATGTGTGTGTGTGTGGGTGTGTGGTGGGTGTGTGCACGTGTGGGTGTGTGTAGGTGTGTCTGTCTGTGTGTGTGTGTGTGTCTGTGTGTGTCTGTGACAAACACATGCTTGCAGATGTCACTGAAAACAGACTGTGGTCTGACTTGATCCGAGGAAGTGACAAGTGAATGCACCATCACGTGGTTGCACCGTGTGGTTGCGGCACACCGGAGCAAAGCTCCTCCGGGTTCATCTGTGAAGACCCAGGTGGTGGGCTAATATATGTATCCTAGACATGTCGTTGCAAGTCAGTGTTGTCATTTTTCAAGATGCCCACGCATCGACTCTTGTTCCTTGCTGTGTTGCTCCCCTGCAGAAAAACATGCAGATGACAAATGAGATGCTTCGAGAGATGATGGAGTTGGCTTGCATGTGGCAGTGGCTCATGCCGAACTTGAAGCGCATGCTCGGCTCCGGTGTGGAGTATGAGAAGATCCAGGAGGCCTGGGAAATGGGGAGCCTCGATTGCACTGTGAGTGCCGTTCACAGCTTGTTTTGCATGGCTTGTGGCCGAGTGTTTGGATAAAACTCTTCAGCAGGATTCATGTGCAGTGACTTTTCATAATTCAAGGATAGACCTAGCCCCTTGTTTTGTTTGTGTGTGTGTGTGTGCAAAGCTCACCTGTCTGCCATGGCGAACAAGCGATTCACGATCAAAGAAGTGACATTCCTCCTGAAGATTCGGCGCTACAAGATCAAGCAACTGTGGAGCAAGCTAGAGTATCTTCGACAATCCGAGACTTGGATTTCAATTATTGAAAGATCATGGCTGCAGCAAGTATCCCAGTGTATGTGTGTTTGTTGTGTGGATAATTTTCTCAGGAATGGAAGTCTGCTTGGGTCTTGGCCGATACCATTGCAGCAAAAACTGCAGAACTGGAGAATGAGTGGATGGGTTGCGAGGACTTCAGATGGGAGACGGAATGGGAGAACAAGTTGATGAGTTCTGAGGACTACAGATCGCAGGAAAGCAGTGGATCCATGGAGACCGAAAAGCCCTCTCCTTCAAGTCCAAGAGAAACCTGTAGGTGGTCGGATTAATTGTTGATTGTTTACACATAATTAAATTTGATGGGCTCTGAAGAGAAAGGTGCCTCATCTAATTCGAAGTACAGGAACTGCTCCTGGTGCTGCCTCCTCGACTTCTGCCTAAGAGTGGGCACAGCAAAAAATATGTCTCAGTTCATTGTGATTGAAGGCAAAGACAGAATTTCCGTAGGGAACCAGAAACGATAAAGGAATGCATTCGTCAGGGGTTATCTTTCCTGTGACTTGGCCCGTAGAATCAGAGCATGCCAAAATACATCACCCGTGTCAGGAAGAGAGATAAATACAGCCATCTGCGCAAATGGCTGTATTTCTGGGATAGGAAAACAGGGGCCGGTAAATACAGCCATTTGCGCAGATGGCTGTATTTTGTAGAGAGGTAACAGCCTGTGATGTATTTCTTGAAGTAGAATCAGAGCATGCCAAAATACATCACCCATGTCAGGAAGAGAGATAAATACAGCCATCTGCGCAAATGGCTGTATTTCTGGGATAGGAAAACAGGGGCCGGTAAATACAGCCATTTGCGCAGATGGCTGTATTTTGTAGAGAGGCAACAGCCTGTGATGTATTTCTTGAAGTAGAATCAGAGCATGCCAAAATACATCACCCATGTCCGGAAGAGAGATAAATACAGCCATCTGTGCAAATGGCTGTATTTCTGGGATAGGAAACCAGGAGCCGGAAAATACAGCCATTTGTGCACATGGCTGTATTTCTAGGATGGGAATGAAGGAGCCGGAAAATACAGCCATTTGCGCATATGGCTGTACTTCTCAGACCCACACCTTAGACTCAGACCTGGTGCACATGAGTGTGTCAGTCAAACATTCTCCAGCTATCTGTGTGTCGTCTGTGTGCTTGGGCTGATTCTGTGATTAACCACATGATGTATTCCAGCTTCTGCTTCGGATTCAATAGTTTTTGTCCCTGTGCTATGACATCCGAGGGCCCTGGACCCGGAATTGCGTGGTGTGGTCAAAGCCAAAGATCCGAAGTTCGATCCGGAGAAGCTCGGCTTTGTTTGTGAGGCTCGTGGCGAAGCGCAACAACAATTCTTGGAAAAGGGCCAGTCCAAGATACAGAATGCTTTGCGGCAAGCCGAGCGCAGTGCCTTCGAGCTCTTCGGCAGACAGCTCTCTAACGACCAGTCCCACTTTCGGTCGTGACTTGGATGCGTTTAAGTTCTGTGTCTCCGAATAAGCAGGCAGGCCCGAATAAGTTCAAAGTTTTCAATGTAACACACATATAATATATCATCCCTCATGTTATGTGTGGTTGCCAAGTCGGAGCCATAGCTATGTCCTCATAAGACGCATGTTGTTCTTCGTGTTTGGCTCTACACCCTCAGGGAGCTGCTGCGAACTTCTGGTGATAACGAGAGGAAGCGGCAAGCTGCTGTGGCCTTGCTGGAGGATAGGTTTGCAAACATGAGCCCAGACGTTGTGCATTGTTTCATGTCTCATGTTTGAAAACCATCTGTGCCCTGCAGACACTTCACAAGAGTGGGTGGGCCCAGATTCGTGAGTATGCTGATGAGAACTTCCCTCTCTTCAATGTGGCCCCGAAGAAAAGGACGGGACTCGACCGCGACTACGAAGTGAAGCCGCTGGATCCACAGCTGAAGCCGTGGCTGTCGAAAAGCCTCGTCGGCTTGCAGGGTGGCGTGAGGAACATGAGCATGGAGCTCGTGGTTTATGTGGCGAACTTGGCCACCCAGGGTGTTGTCAGTGCGCCCAAGGTGAGTTTCCTGGTGAATTCCTTGCAAACTGCGGCAGCCAACATGCCCAACTCGTTCGTGGCAATCGTGATGCTGCCGAATCGTGCAAGCGATGGCCGGGTCAGGACGCACTCTGCATGCATGATGAGTGGGGTGTTGTGTGGTGTGAGCTTGGCCTTAGGACTTCAACCATTATCTTGTACTGTGGGTGCTCTTTAGAGTAACCAAGGAAGGAGCAAGAGCAAGAGGAGGAGAACGAGCTAAACAAGAAAGTCGAGGAGGATGCCGGGGATGACGACAATGATGATGCTGCAAAAGCAAACAAAGCTGAGGCGATCTCAGCACTGAGGGACTTCAAGTACACCCTCCTCGTGACTTTGCAAGAGCCAGCGAGAGGCTTGGAGGTCAAGCCTTTGACCTTGCTCTTCGATGAGTCTACGATCTACGGACAAAGGAATGGTTTTCACGAGGCCTGGTTGGTAACAAGCACGCAGGCCAGCACCCTGACCCGGAAGACGATATTCAAGAGGCTCGTGCTCGAGAAAATCCCGATGCTGCCACGGTCGGTGGCTTCTCTTGATAGGTTGTCTTGTCATTGTCAGTTTGATGCCCATACTTGTCTGTGATGGTGTTCGGTGCATGGCATGAGGAGATGATCCAGCCAACTTGTTTTGTGGTATGACTGAGGAAATGGTCAAGGTTGAGATCGGCCGCAAGGTTTGTGCCGACAGTGACCGGTTGTCAAAGTCACAGGAGCGTTCATGTTCTGATTCATGCTTACTGCCCATTTCAGATTCACTGTCGGTTTGGTGTTGCTGCTGCCCCTGGCACTTGTTCTGTCTGGGAGGAGATGAGGCAACATCTTGGAGGGGTCGGCCTGGTGAAGAAGCTGTTGCTTGCGTTGGACGCGCAGAAGATGCACACGGTTGTCGTGGACCTCTTCGGCCATGACGGCTGGGTTGGGCTTGCAACTTTGCAGCTGCAACAGGAGAATGCAAAGTGTGTTTGTGCCACGGTGGCACATACCGATATTGAGTACAAGTTCTGCAAAGAGACCTGGATGGATTTAACATGTAGACTCTTTTGTCTCAGAGTTGTGAAGTAAGTTTTAAAGTCATCGACTGTTATGATCCAGGACGTGATTCTGCACTCCCTCTTCAGCAAGGCGAAGGGAAAGCAATTGCAAATCACCGGGTTTCCAGACTTTGCAGCTGCAATGTCGGACCTTGCAAAAGTGCATACAAGCGAAGCGCGGTCTGAGTACGACTACCAGGTGACCGTGCCGGTGGGTGGTTGCCTCATCATCCTGCAGGCACTTGTGACGAAGTTCCAGGCATCCACGCTGGTTGCAGATGACTTTGAGAAGCTGCTCGAACAGCACGACAAAGAGTTCAATCGTGAACACAAAAAGGCTTCTGGGCCGGTGACTGGTCAAGATGCCGACGGCCGGGTGGCACCAAGTCCCAAGAAGTTGCAGAAGGTTTACGATGATGTGGGTGGCTTCTCAAAGGACCACAAGACGTTTCTGGTGGAATGTAAACATAAATTAAAGCTGTCACTGTTGATGTGTGCCGATTCCGGTTTTGTTCCTTGCAACCCATCCACTTGAAATCTTAGGCTGGTCGAGGCTTCCATGGGTGACTACACGTTGATGTGTGATCTTGATGATGCAAGCCTCTGGGTCCACAGCGACAAGATTGCTACCATTCCTGCTAATTCCGAAGTCCTGGGTTTTGGGTCTGGTGACTTTGCAGACGGTGCAACAGCCAACGATGTGTTATCGGACCCGAGCGGGAGATGGTTCCGCTATGCCCTCACAGGCCCAATGAAGCAGGTGATGGTCATTGTGGAGTGTGACCGAACACTGCCGGAGGAGATGAAAAACCTGCCGGTGTGGAACAAAGTGACTCAGATGTGGTGCATAGCTCCGGGTTTAATTCAGAGTTGGTTTCTATGTCTATCATGTAAGGTCATATTCCTTGACATTTGAGTCTAGGTTGTGTGTGCGTTTGTGTGTGTGTGTGAGGTGACGAACCTCAAATCATTTATGGTGGCAATGGAAGATGCCGGCGAGCTCGTGAGCCTCCTAGGCAGCAAGAAGGGTGAAAATGATGAGTTGCAGCCGGTCGAGAAGATTGTGTTCATCATGGATGCAATGAAAACCACCGCCAGCAAGAGACGCAAGATCACAAAGGCTTCTCGTTTCGTATATGGATGAAACTAGGATATGTATGAAAACTGTATGTGCCCAACTAGTCTTGCATGCAGCTGTAACAAGTGTGTTGTGTGGGTGCAATAATGTGTGATACTGTTTGCTGGCCTCGTCTTGTTATCTTCTGCACTCTCTCTGAATCATGCGTTTGCTATGTGATGTCACTCTCATAAACTAAGGTGCGGCCGATCACTCTCGGTGCCCACATGGACGTTGCCAAAATCCGTTCCCTTCGTCTTCCATTCCAGGTGGCATGGCGCATGAGGCCGGTGGGTTGATTTCGAAATTGGATAAACACAACTCTTTGTTTTCTGATATGCCGATGTGCCATGCAGTATGTCACACAAGCTGCCCTGTGTACTCTCCCTGTTCTCTCAGGCTGACCCATCATCGCGTTCTCTCACCTGTGAGGCCTGTGCTCATGCATGCCCAGGAAATGCAACTCACGCCGGGTGTGCACCGACTCTTCTGAGCTAGAAGCCTCGTGGGGTTGTCTGTGACTCGATGAAACTTTCAGGTGTGTGTGCCTGTGCACGGGCATCTCTGAAGGTCTAGTACTGGGGCCCATCGGACCAAGGTTCCAGGGCTGGAGACAGAACTCACAATCGTGTCTGACTTGCCATCTAGAGTGATGTTAACTTTCAAAGCGTCACCTAACCCTTCAAACTGCTTCGTGGGTATACTGTGCTAGACCTTCTCAGACACACTTAGCCACAAACGATGATCGAACCTATGTGGTGCCACACGTACCTCGCCAGGAGATGCAGCATGCACGCCTGATAGGTCACCTCAGGTGTGGAGTCACAGCTTTTGCCTGGGGAGTGCCAGTCGCTTGCAACGTTGTGGAAGCTGGCATAGGGTACTCTCATAGATATTGTCGGATCTTTGGCCTGGGCCTGGGTGCTCTTCTCTATGCCAATCGTGCCTTTATATACAACTGCTGCTCCATAGGGGCCTGTACTGAAACCCTAAACAAAAATTAAATGCCCTAAACACCTGAAGCCCAGAACACCCTAAACCCCTAAACCCGATTATCAACCCCCCAACCCCTAAACCCCTAAACCTAAAGACCTAAACCCTAAACCCCTAAACCCTGAAGCCCTAAACCCCAAATTCAAAGCCCTAAACCTTAATCCCCTAAACCCCTAAACCCCAAAGCCCTATACTGTATCATAAAGTTGTTGCTCATAGAGGACATTAGTGGTTATCACAGCTACAATTCATGTCAGTGAGAGGGCTACCAGGGCCAGGGCAATTTGAAGTTCTCAGACCTCGGCAAACATGTGCCTCGGCGTCGTTTCTCTGACTCCACAAATACGCATCTTCATGCAGTGCAAAGCATGGTCTTTGGTGGGTAAAAGATCTGGCTCCTGAACAAGGCCCAGGTGCCAGCTCCTGCAGTCTGTGATAGTTGGCGCAGTGTGTCACATCAGCAGCCGCAGGGAGCCGAAGCCACTGTCCTGCCGAACAACATGTCTTAGAGTTCGACAGCCGTGATAGCAACTTGGACAGTCGCAGGTTTTGTGCTTCGAGCCAGGGGGGGGGGGTCTGTTCTTCCTTGGGTCGTGGCTGCCAGGACAGCCATGTCACGTGTCCACATGGATTCCATAAGCACAGAAAGCTCGCCATCCTTCCAAGCCCCACCGTTCCAGACTGCAGACTACGAGGGCGAGCTGGACAGGTTGAACAACATGGCACAGCAAGCTGAGTCTCAGTCTGCAACCGCAAAGTCACCGAAAGGTGCCGAGAAGAAAGGCATCAAGAGGCTGGAGCGCTTTGAGGTTAAGTCCGGTGATGGTGAGGAAAACCCCGATGCGCAAGCTGCTGAAGGAGACGATGGTGAAGATGATGATGAAAGCAAGGCCCCCAAGAAGAAACCCGCCGGCCGAGGACGAGGAAGAGGCCGGAAGAAGAGCTCGAGCAGCGATGCGGGATTCAATGCCATCAAGAGAAAAGACGACGATGATTCAGATGATGATGATGATGACTACAGCGAGGCCCCCCCATGTTGATCATGTCATCTGCAGTGGGCTGGGCTGCATTCATGTCAATGTTGTCTTGTTACTGCAGTCTTCAGCTTACCACACATCCTGAAGGCCAGTGGCAAAAAGAAGAAGGGCAAAGTGAGGAAAACTTCAAGACGGAGCAAGAAAAGCCCAAAGTCACGGAAGACCAAGAAGACCCAAGGCAAGAAAAAAAAAGACCCCAAAAAAGGAGGGCGCAAGAATCCGGCCAACGAGCTGGAGGCTTTGGTGGGCATGATGCAGGACCAACCCTATAAGTTTGATTATAGTTAATCGTTCGTCGGCTAGCTATGGTTCCAATCTGTGTGCACTTCATTCATGTCATTCGATGGCAGGATGCCGAGACGCAGTTTGCCACAGGCTCTGAGGTTTTGGTGAGTTCCAGCTCGGGTTCTTCTGAAGATGAAGAGTCTTAGCTGGCAATGATGAAGACCAAATGTCACTACATGCCTCAACTTTGAACCCTGGACACGCACTCCATCAGGATGAGTGTGGGTCCTCATCGGATCTGATCATCTCCGAAGCTTGCCTTGGATTATTCGGAGACTCGCTCTAGGGCCTCTAGGGTTTATGGTGGCTTTGGATACATGCATACATGCATACATGCATACATGCATGTATGCATGCACACACACACACATGCATACATGCATATGTGCATGCATACAGACATACATGCATGTATACATACCTACATACAAACATACATACATGCATGCATGCATACATGCGCTCGGCTATAGTTATAATTGTTGTGGGATTGCAAGAAGTGTGAAAGCTTGGGATGCCATGCTGCTTTAACCTTTGCAAGCTATACCTTATTATTAAGTAGTAGTAGTATTACTATATTCACGCAATGTATATGTGCAATATGTGTATGTGCCTTGACATGTGTATGCATGTATGTATGTATGTATGTATGTATGTATGTATGTAGGTATGTATGTATGTATGCATGCATGCATGCATGTATGTGAGTATGCATGTGCACACGTCTCTTCCGGATTGGGTGTCTCTGCTTTGTAAAGTCTCGGTCCCTGTTAGAACCCCCAATTACTAGATTGGGGCTCTGAACTTAGGGTTAAGGTTGGGGGCTTCAGCAAAACGCCTCAACCCTAAATCCTATAAACCCTAAGCCTAACCTAAATGCACTGCAAAGTCCTCACGACAATTCCCGAGCACTGCTTGTAAATTCAGCTCCCGAACACTTTTCAGGTGTGGCCAGCTGGGACAGTAAGCTTTAAGTTTAAGGCAGGAGGGGGCTTTGGTTGATCACCTACCGCTAAAAGGCCTCAACCCTAAATCCTTTCAGCCCGAAATTAAACCTGCTAGCCCCGAATCCGAAGCATTGAAAACTTAGACCCTTTAACCCTGAACCCTCCTCGACCCTTCAATGTGTAAGGATTAGTAAGGATGCTTGGCATTAGGGGGTTGAGGCTTGGGCTTTAGAGGGGTTAAGGGTTCGGGTTATATTAGGGTTGTAGGAGGTAGACTTACAGGGGGGGGAATGAATGCAGTCTCATTCCAGGCATCAGCCGAGGGCAATGGTGAGCGCCCACGCGATGATGAAGTGCCTGTCACGTGGTTTGAATTGGTATCAACGACTCAAGTCCCCGCCAGACCCACCCCCAGCCCACCTTCCACCCCACCCCACCCCCACCCTTCAACCCCCCACGCACCCCACCCCCACACCCCACCTCCCCCCCACCACCCTACCCACCGACCACCCCACACCCACACCCACCACCCCACACCCACGTGTGACCTTCTGCATCTTGCCTGTGAGTGATTTGTCCTACCAGAGGGGTGTGGTGCTTCCCATACAAAGACACCCCTTCATGTCGCTGGCCGGGCATGGGACTGTCGGTGACTGGCCGCTTGCCCACTTGGGCTGAGACCCTTGAGGCCAACCAAT